CACAACGACAGAATTACAATAACGAGAGAAATAATGAAACATTTAAACGAACAAATGAAACTTTAGACTGATATTTGAAACTAAACGCCTAAAACAACAAAAACAAACACACGTACACAAACAAACAAACACAAACAAACAAACAAACACAAACAAACACACAAACGCAAACACAAAAACAAACTCAAACAAACAAACACACAAATACAAACAAACCATTTTGCGGATAGAACCCATTCGAATGCGGCGACAAAGCCGACGATGTTGACGACAAGACTGACGACTGCTGCTGCTGTGACAAAATCATTTGCTGTCCACAATGGTGAAAATTGTTGGGTGGTGTAGTAGTCCCATTCCCACTTATACTCCCCGAGTTAATCCCCCCATTGGCAAGGCCCGAACTTACCCCACCACCAACTCCGCCACCATTACAAATTCGCGTGGTCAGCATATCAGCGTGATGCATGTGGTGGTGGTGGTGGTGATGAAGTGGGTACTGGAAGGGCAAAGAGGGGTATGGGGTGGGTGCGCCGTAGGGGGCGTTCATGGCTCCGTGTGGTGACGTCGCTGGAGTGCTCTGAGTGGTTGAGACGGAGATGATTGTTTGAAAAATCTCATCCAAATGTAAATGATATTATTTCAAGATTACAAACAATAATATGACTAAAACAACAATAATCTTAATAATATAGTAAAAATTCGAAAAAAATTATAGCAGTAGTAGTAGTAGCAGTAGTAGCAGCAGCAGTAGTAGCAGTAGTAGTAACAGTAGTAGTAGCAGCAGCAGCAGCAGCAGCAGCAGTAGTAGCAGCAGCAGCCGTAGTAGCAGTACTATGTTGTTGCTTTATTGTTATTTGTATTATTATTGTGGTTATTATTATTATTGTCGTTATTATTATTATTATTATTATTATTATTATTATTATTATTTATTTATTTTCCTTCTGTCTAGACATGGAAGTTTAATTTTATGTTTTTTTTTAGTTTTTCATCGTTGGAAAGTATATTAGAGAAAAATTATTTTTCTCCATCCTGGCGTTTTTGTCACTTTGGAAACTGTATTAGCCCGTATCTGATAGTAATTAAACGCCAAAAAAATGACCATTTATACAACAACAACAACAACATCAACATCAACAACAACAACAACATCAACAACAACAACAAACAACATCAACAACAACAACAAAGACGACAACAAACAACAACAATAACCATGATATAAAAAGGGCACGAGCAAGAACAACAGTAATGATACGAGTGGACGTTTCTCAAAAATATAAACTAACCAGTCGTCAACAGAAAAAGAACAATAAAATTAAATAATAATATTGGGATTAATGATAATAATGATAATAATAATAATAATAAATAATAATAATAAAAACCACGCGAAACAAATGTCACCGTAAATTAAAATTTTTGACTTTTCAACGCGCCTTTGATAAACAGTTAAACAAGGCTCTGCCCAAAGTCTAGCTTTACTACGAAGTAATAATAAAAATAAAAACAACAACAGCAATAAAAATAATAATAATAATAAGACCCCACCCCACCCCACCCTACTAACGTAGTACCCCACCATGAAGGGGGGTCCACCTAATCCGGGCGGCTGAGACGACAAGATGACGTTAGTTAAGATGCCGTTCTCGTCTATGATCTGCTGGACCATGTGGCCCGGTGGCACCTGCATCGGCATCGGTAGGGGCGGTCCATTGTTGGATACCATGCGCACCGTGGCAGGCCCTGAGCGGGG